GGCCTTGACCACCTGCGGAGAGACACAGCAAAGCGCGAATCACTGGGGCGCCCGGGTGGCTGGGAGTGCTCGTGCCCTGGCAGTGCCCCGCACCCCACTCCCGGGAGCAACCCCGCCGGGCGGCGTGTAGTACGGCTGGGAGAGACCGGCCCCTCCGGGGCGGGGCACTTTTGCCTCCTCCCCTCCCCCCGTCACCCCGTTTTCCCTGGAGAGGCCCATCCCCTCGCCTCCGGCCCAGTGGCCGGCAAGTGCCGTACCTGCATGAGCACCGCTCCGACGGTGGACCTCCCCACGCCGAACTGGTTCCCGACGGATCGGTAGCTGTCCGGCGTGGAGAGCTTCCAGAGGGCGATGGCCACCCGCTTCTGGATGGGGATGGCGGGCCTCATGCGAGTGTCCCTTCTGCGCAGAGCAGGGGCGAGCCACTCGCAGAGCTCCAGGAAGGTGTCCTTCTTCATCCTGAAGTTCTGGGTCCACTGTTGGTCTCCCCAGCGCTCCAGGACGATGCGGTCCCACCAGTCGGTGCTGGTGTCCAGACGCCAGATGTGGCGAGGCACGCCGGCGCCCGGGCGCCGCCACAGCTGTGCCATGGCCCCCCAGGCGGAGAGGCAGGGGGTTGATGTGCACCAGGTGGAACCAGGCAGCCTCCAGCCATTGCTGGCAGGGCTGCCACAGCCAGGGCCAAGGCGAGCTCTGGCTCCATGTTGCCACCTGCGGTGGCATCCCCGAAGGGAAACACCGACACAGACGGGCGCAGAGAAAAATGCTTTGCTGTCGCTCGGCGAGGTAGGCAAGCAAGCGGAAAAGCTGAGAACCGGCTGTCCAGGGGGGTCCCTTTAAGCACGAGCCTCAGATAGCCTCAGACAGCAGCCACACAAAGCAACTACTGACCTGATGCCCTGCCAGAACCGGTTTCAGCCGCCCTTAAATGCGCCCCTGCGTCCAATCAGTGTGGACGCGCTAGTTCGAATTAGCAAAACGCTAATTCAAACTAGTTTTTAAGTCGAGATGCGCTAGTTCGAATTAGCTTAGTTCGAATTAGCGCTGTAGTGTAGACATACCCTCAGAGAACTCTGCCCGTGCATTGCCATTATGGGGAAGAAGGTCAATGGAAAAACACCACAGCAAGCAGCAGACCCCCCCCACTTAGCAACAGCTGACCCAGCAACTCAGGGACTAGCTTCTGGATAAGCACCACTAACAGCATCTCCAGGGGGCCCTGAGTGACACCCCCAAAAGCCAATGGGTGGGTAGCTGTATCAGGATCTGGAGAGGTTTTGTGCAAAGGTTTGGGGAACCTTTGACAGTGGGGTAGATCCCTCAGGATTCTCCAAGGCCTTCCCCCAACACCTGTCATCAAAACATTCTCCCTCTCTGTGCTGCTGCTCCTGTCCCATGAGGGGGATTCTGTCCCCTCATTCTCACACCTTTTATCCGCATTTCCAACATACAAATTGAAGAACACCTCAAAGCATGCAAGCCCCTGACAGTGACAAGCAAGAGACTACCCCAAGAGAGAGTGGAGAGGCTTGTCCATTCCCTTCCCTGCTATTTTGGGCCAATGGGATTCTGCGTGCGCTCCCGGAGCCAGGTCCGCTTGCCAGAAGCCTGCCTGTATCCTCTCCTTCCTTTTTCTGGCAGCCAGGAATCCTAGGCTGTGCAGTGAAGTGACCTGGTTCCATTTATATTTCCCCTCTGTGGACCATTTGCAAAGTCAACAGTGCCCAGACAGGAACCCAAAGGGGAGGCATGTACTGAATGTTGAGCTGGTCTCCGGCAGCATCTGCTACTGATGTGCTTGCCAGCCACTCAAAAGACTGGGAAACCAGAGCCCGTGTCCAGGAGTGTAAGCAGCAGGCCTAGAACTCTGGGTTGGACAGCCCAGCTTAACCCTTCCCTGGTGAGGACTAAGAAGGATGACGACAATGGTCCTGAGTTTTCTGGGGTTGCTGATGAGATGGATCCCATGAAGGTTTCAGAAATGGCAGTAGGTGTCCGCACAGTGGTCTTCTGTCATGATATACGGTTAATGGTGGCAGCACATGCCCTGATTTCCAGTGAGATGCTGACCATATTAATGTGAACCCAGGTGGAGGCTAGGCTTCCTTTTTAACAGTGCTCTGACTACTTTCATCCACTATTTAATCTGAGGAAGTGGGTCTGGCCCACGAAAGCTCATCATCTAATAAACCATCTTGTTAGTCTTTAAAGTGCTACATTGTCCTGCATTTTGCTTCAACTACCCCAGACTAACACGGCTACATTTCTATCACTATTCTGACTGCAATCGACAGTGTTAAGCAAGACAGGGCTGTTATCTTGCATTTATTTTGTCAATTCTAGCTCTCAAGGATCTCAAAGCATTTTACAAGGGTGAAAAAATTAAAATTAAAACCTCTGCAAATACCAACTCCCTCCCTCTCCTGTGAGGCATGAACTATCCTTACCTTCAGACACAAGAGAGGCCAAGCCAGGACTCTCAGCCCTTTGTCTTAAACACATGAGACTGTCTTTCTTCTAGGATGCATCACTGCTCTAGATTTCTATCCAAGATCTCAGAAGGCATGTTTCCTGGCAGAAGGTGCTGGTACCCTTGCATGGAAAGGCCACTTGCCCACTGTCCCGGAGATATAAAGCTCCCGCTGGACATAGTGGTGGAAGAATTTGAGTTGGACTCAGAACACGGGGATTCCAAAATCAACTATTAGCTTAACGACTGCCTCTACAAGCCCAATTAGTGATGTTATGGCTACGTACCCTAGTAGAAACACATGGTGCTGTAAAAGTGGCTGCTCATCTGCCTTAGTGCTCTTTCCTGTAGAGGATAATGGGGTTCTATTCCATTCTGCCTCTCTTGTTCAGTACGTAAGCGAGCCATGGGGGAAATACTGAGGCTGTACAGACTGGATGGTCTCCATACCTGTGGGATCTCAGCTGTCTCTTTCAACAACAGTCTGGTACAGCTGATCATCTTATCTAGTGTCTTGCTGGGATTAAGGCTTGGGTTGAGAAGAAATGGCTATATCCCAATCCAAAAAAAGATTTGGACTTACTAAGGGTGTGTCTACACTGTCAGTGCTGCAGGTGCACTGATGCAGTATATCTGGTAAAGACGCTCTATGCCAACAGAGCAATTATCCTGTTGGCATAATAAAACCATCCCCACAAGTGGCAGAAGCCACATTGGCAGGAGAATACCACCCCACAACAGAGTGGTGTTCACACTAGCACTTATGTTGGTGTAACTTATGTCACTCCATGGGGGTGGTGGAGTGACAAAATCTGCTGATGCAAGCTGTACTGTAGACATAGCCTTAGGCCATATCTTCACTTGCCTCACTGGAGAGCAATCTTCTGGTGTTTGATTTAGCAGGTCTAGTTAAGACCCACTAAATCAAATGCTGAGGGTAGTCCCAGTCAGCACTAGTACTCCTGGCAATTGCAAGGAGTAAGGAAAGCCAACAGAAGCACTTGCTCTGGATCACCTCCCTCTGTGAAGACAGCACCTAGTTTGGCTTAAGACAAGCCAACTACAGCTATGTATTTTACGTAGCTGGATTTGTGCACCTTAATCTGACCTTTCAGGTCTAGTGTAGCCCTGGCCTCAGACTGTAGGCAAGGACAATCTTTCTGTTCAGTCTGAACAGCAACTAGCACAACGGTGCCCTGTTGAGTTATCTTGGAAAACATGGAAGGGGTGTTCTCAAAATGGTTAGGGACACAACCCCCATGCTCTGCATGTCTAACTACCGGAAGCTGGTTCTATACAACTGGGGATGGAGGACTCAAAAGTGCCCTGTTCTGTTAATTCTCTCTGGCACTGCACACTGCATCTGGCACTACACGCTGTCAGAGACAGGATATTGGGATAGATGCACCAGTGGTCTGATACAGCATGGCCATTCATCTGTTCAGCTGGGAAAGATTTTGCCCATCTTTTGTGTTCTAGAATTTGCTTTGAAATCCTCAGCTACTATACCTCAGCCTTGCTAAGCCGGGCCAAAGGCTAATGAAACTGCTTGACACAAGTAGTAGCAGGAGCTGGTAGTACTTCTCAATAATTATCTAGACCAGGGATTGGCAACGTCCGGCATGCATGCCATAAGTGGCTCGCAAGATGATTTGCAGTGGCACACACAATGAACAGGCTCTACCTTGCTCCCCTGCACCTGCAATGGGGAGCCTATGCTGGTGATCCAGCATTGCGCCCCCTGCAAGATCGGAGCCAGTGCTGGCTTCCTGCAGGGGCAGCAGGGATGGGGAGGGGGGCAAGGAAAGTCTGTTTATTGCGTGTGCCCTGAAGATGTGAGACTGAGCCTTGAGGTGGGCAGGAAGAGCCTAGGCACGTTCACATGCTGTCGCAGGGCGCGCAAAGTGGCATTGCGTGTACATCGCCTCCGCATACAGAAGCGGAAATGACGTACATCAGCTGAGCCGCCCCTCGTGGCAGTTTGGCCCCGTCCCTTTCCTCCCCCTGGGGTGGCGACTTCATGGCATGTTCCTGGCTCTGTCACAGCCCCCGGGACGGGAGCCAATCGCAGCCAGAAGGAAGGAGAGGGCAGGGAGAAGGCGGCATGTGCGTGCACTGAAGGCCAAAGTCTGGCAGCTCAGGCTGGCCTGGAAAATCCCAAGGCTCTGCGCTGGATCCAGCTTGCAGGGAAACGCATGCGTGGCTCCTCCCCACAGGAAAAGCTGGAGCGGAGCCCGGGGCAGAAGACGAAGCGGGGCACATGCTGGAGAGAGCTCCTCCCCCCCACCTCCTAGGAGAGCGGCGCAGCCTAGGACAGGAAGGTTACATCTTGGCACACCACTTCAGAAAGGCTGCCGACCCCTGACCTAGAGGGTTGTGACCTTTTTCAGACGCTGTCCTGAACATCTCAAGGTCAGTTAATGCTGCAATTTAAGGACACACAAAAGGTCATTAAATAATGGGTCAACTCCCACCAACTCCTGCCACAGATTCCTCACCTCCACCTTTCAGTTCCTTCATTTTCACCCACCTGGTCACTGTCGTAAAGTGCCTGGAGTGGACTTCGGCCTGACTTCCCATGCCAGCTGGTCCCCAGAATCCTATCCTCTGCAGCTGGAAAGAGAAAGACGGGGAGAAGTTTATTTCTCTCGCTACTGCCTCTTGGGTATCTCTTGAGATGTTATGAACGAGAAAAGAACTGCCAGGGAGAGAGTCCAGGTTAGATATGGGTTAGTGTCACCTTCTATATAGGCCCATTCAGCTTCTTACACCGGACTAGCAACCTGTCCCCTTCCTCCACTTGCCAAGCTGTCTGTCACACTGAGTGTGACTCCTTGTGAAGATGGTCACCTCCGGTCTCGCATTTACTGGATTCAACTCCCATATCACATACTCAAAGGTGTCAATGCACTGCTTGCTGCTGCCCACAGGTGGGATTTCTAAACACAAATCCCAGTTTGCATATGGCCCTACATACCACATGAAAGTTCTGGAGCCAACTGAGGGTTAAATTCACTATATATTTGAAAGAGATTGTCCGTCTGTCTGTCCATCCATCTGTAAGTCTGTTTGTTCAAGAACTCCTCCTGAATGGTCAGAGTTAGGACCACCCAACGGGGCATGCAACTTCCAAAAAGCAAGGCCTATATTGAGCTGTGCCAGGACAATGGGAAATGCCTGGAATGCAACTGTTTTCCATAAAATGGAAAGGGAGGGGGTCTGCTAGCAGGGACAGTTAAGCTGGCAGCAAGGGGCCTTGAGACAGGACAGCTGTAAACCTTACTGGAGCAGCAAGGAGTAGGGGTGAAAATGGGATAGATATGTACTTTATATTATATTATATAAATAAAGCCAAGGAATATGCACTCCTCCCCTGGCTGTGCCTGCTGCAGCAGCCACGGACAAGCATTTCTCACCTGGCCCCAAGCTGCTGCAGAGACAGAGGACTGAGGCTGTCCACTCTCCCAGCCTGCATACTAAACCCCATATCACCCTCCCCCCCGGCTCCAGAAAGGATTTAAATGAAGAAAAACAAAACTGATTTCAGTTAAGGACGGGAGTAAATCCTCTACTACATTATAGCTAATATCAGTGTTGGTCAGCCATGAGGTGTCTGGGCACTAGGGCTGTAATAGAATAAGTGTTTAAACGGTCAACCAATAAGCATGAGCTGTCACCAACACAGCAGCTCCCGGCTCCACACCAGGGAGCTGGCTGCCACCCCACATGGCCGGTTCTGTATCAGAGGCGACAGAGTGGGTGGCAGATGGCTCCCCAGGAGCTGGGCTGCAGGTGGGAGCTGGTGTGCACAGGCAGCTGCCTTAAAAGTGTTTTCTGCAGAGCTCACAGCGCAGCCAGCTCCTCAAGAGTGGGGCCGGCAGCGGGAAGCCAGCTCCTGGTGCCCACTGGCTGCCGGTCCTGCGCCTGGGGAGCTGGCTGTGCTGTGGGCTCTTCAGCATTAGCTTTATACTGCAGAGCCTGCTGCATGTAATGTATCAGCCCTTAGATTTTCAGCAGTGACATGGTTACGTAACCGCTTTTTAACAGCCCTACTGAGCACCCCATTGTAGGAAGCATCTTGCAAGCATTCATAAAATCCAGACAGATGTGTAATTTAAGTTGTGTGTCCCATATAACACACAGGACAACTGAGGCAATAGGCACTCAGGATTTATGGAAATCAAGCCATAAATGACTTCCCTGCAGTGAATAAGGGTGATAAGCAAGGAACAGACCTAAAAGTCTGCATTCAACTTATTGCTTTATAAACATGATTTTTCTCTCTCTCACGTACACATGCTCACCCCACCGTTTATTTGAGATTTAAAAGAGAAAGATCAGGGTGAAGTTAATAAATGTATTTGTAATGGATATGGTAATACAAAATTTCCATATCCCTGTTCTTCATAATATCTGAATTACTGAAAGTTTTCAAGTTCACCTTTCATGACTAGTGCTCTGTTGTGTGAGGTTTTTTTTCTCTCCTGTATTTAATTAAATTTGTAAGCCTAGTCAGACTAGTTTCATTTTTATTTTGTTTTTTCTAGTCAGTTTCTCTGGCTCTGGATACTAGCAAAACGGTTGCAATATTTGGACTGCAAACACTTCATGGGTTGTGTTTAAAATAAAATACTGCTTATGTAGAATTTAAGAAAATACATGTATCTTCAAGATATTCCTGCCAATAAACAAAATCCAAATGTGGGGTACAAACATTTCATTCAGACCCCTTTAATATAATAAACCACAAAAAAAAGGCAATTGTATTTCATAACTTTAGTTGCAACTGCCAAAGAGCTAGACCCATGTGGACATGAGAAATGTCACTGTCTACCAGGCTTGATCAATGAGGGAATTTACTCAACTGGCAATAACCAACAGCAATCCCAACCGTTTTATCTGACAAGAGGATATTACAACATTTGTGCTGGGCTGTGCTAAGGAACAGCTCTAAACATATACGTTTCAGGGTTCAGATCATTTGCTAATTAATAGGGAAGTTGTCAAGATACTTAACCGTTATAAATTTGTTATAAGTCTTATGTGCTTTTTTAAAAGATTGCTCTAGTGTTTGAAACTAACATCAGCCTCTTGCTCAGTTTTTATTTTTCTCTATACTACATTGATACACTGATTTTTTTACTGGAGGGTTGTTTAAACTGGTGTCAGACTCTAGGAAATATCCTACCCATCTGCTGTGTTATTCCAATCTGCAAGGCAACTGGAGATATTGAGGGAAAGTTTTCATTTATGAGAACAATGATGTTTCTAGCTCTTATTAGGACTTGTCTATACTTATCCGGAGATGGATAATCCGGAGATCTTCTGGGGTTTACTTTAGCGGATCTAGTAAGGCTGATGGTACTCCCATCGATCCTCAGACTCCATGGGGGCGCAACGAGTAAGGGAAGTTGATGGGAGAAACTCTCCCATCGACCTCCCATAACGGGGATGTCATGGTAAGTCAAGCTAAGGTACACTGACTACAGCTATGCCATTCACATAACTGTAGATATGTATCTTAGTTTGTCTGTTTCTCCCAATGTAGACCTGGCCTTAGAGTTGTGAGAAACTCCAGATGTGAGTTGATGCAGTGCTCTTTGCCCGAGTTTGCTGACAGCCTGAAACAATAGCTATCAAGGAAGAGTCATAGAAGCTTACTTTCTCTTTATGAAAATTGACATCATCACATATCCACCTCATTCCAGGAGCTGGGCCTTATTTAGGTCAGTTGATGTTAACTCTAGAGCTTAATGACACGTGTGATGGATAGGAGTGCTGGCCAGCACCCAGTGACTAAAGCGTTAAGCTTAGGTAGCTAAGGGGTGTCGGGAGTTTTTTTTAAGCAGAAGCTTATAGAGGCAAGGCATTTAAGGTCTCTTGCAGGCCCCCACCTTCTGCACTCGGAGTGCAAGGAGGGGAACAGCCCTGACAACACGGTATTAAACATGCACATGATTCATCATTTAAACTGCTGGTGGGAACAGCAGAATCATCAAGCTCATACATTTATCCACAGCCAATGGATGCAGGGCAGCTGCTAGCTGCCAGCTACGGGCCACTTCAGTTCCTATGGGCAGGGCGAGCAGGTCCTGCTCTAAAGGGTGGCACCAGGGGCGGACTGGCCCAGCAGGACACCGGGAATTCCCCGGTGGGCTGTGTCATGGCTCCTTCCCCACTCTGGCATGATAAATGCAGAAGTGGGGGCCAGCAAGTGTACCCCAAAGCCTTATCTACCAGGCTTTGGTATAAAACTTCCCCCAAGATCTTAAAAACCTAGATCTTGGGAATAAAACTTCCGCTGCCACCACCCAAATGTTGCTAAAGAAACCAGGGGAAAGATCATTTGGGAAATCTTCCCCCTAAAACAAAAATCAGGGCACACCATTAACCACTGCCAGGTTAATAAAAGAAAAGAAAGAACTTTTATTATTACAACAATATTCTGGTTGCAAGTATAATGACTAGAGAGGAAGGTAACAAAATATACTCATGGAGAAACTCCATGGGCCTAGAACTTAGTTACAAAGAAAAGCCAAAACATCTTTTAAGCAGTGCCAGACATCAGATCCCATACCCAATCCATAACACAATAAAACCTAACAAAACTACCTAAACTTTACCCTACTTACAGAAAATAAAGAATGATGTCTTGGAGAGAGAGAGAGACATGCTTGTCCCTCTCTGTAGCTGCAGAGAACTCTCAGAGAGACAAAAAAAGGGAGAAAAGAAAAAAACCCAAATTCCTTTGTCCCAGTTTGAAAAGTCCCACCTACATTCCTATTGGTCACTCCACCTGGCTAGGTGTAGTTAACCCCTTAATCCCCAGGCTGCTGGCTAACCCTCATAATCATGACAATGGGTCCTAGCCTTCTACACTGAAAGAACTAAGCCTTTCAGAAATCCTCCCAACTGATCATAACATTAGCAGAAAGAGAGAAGGGCTCATCTGTTTTGGCCAATCATATTTCTTCATGGATTGTATCATGCATTAGAGAGTGCTATAGCTTAGCAGGGATGCTCCATCCACTGCTCTCGGCGCGCACTACTAGGGCATAGTCTTCCTCAGCAGCTTTCCTGGCCCAGATCCAAGAAATCTGTAGAGCAGCAACATGGTCATATATTCACATGTTTGCAGCTAATTACGCACTCATGCACCAGCCTAGAGATGATGTAGGATTCGGCAGGGCAGTGCTAAGTTCAAAGCTCCAACCTCACCTCTTGAACTTGGGCTTGGGAATCCCCTAATTGGAATGCATATGAACAAACACTTGAAGAAAAAATGGTTGCATACCTTCTCATAACTGTTATTCTTCAAGATGTAGTGTTCATGTCCATAACCCTAACCCTAACCCTTCCCCAATGTCAGAATAGCTGGCAAGAAAGAACTGAAAAGTTGTGGGGGATTTATCAGGACTCTATATTATGTGCCATTTTGGCACCAGTACAGGGGGTACCCAAACCAATCCTGTGGCTAGCTGCAAGAAAAGTCTTCTTGCTAATGTACATGTGCACACTCAGACACCTTATTAGAATGGACATGAACAAGACATCTTGAAGAACTAATATTACAACCCAAAAGCAACATTAACTGAGCCCCTTGTTCACATTAT